ATGGATTTTTTTTAGGGCTCAAACGGTCACGGTTTTACCCCTGACGGTTAACTGCTAAGCTAACGGTCGGTTAACCGGTTATAACCTATAAGCCACGGCAATCCTGCGGACTCTTTTTTAACCGTATATTTGACTATACTCATTCAAAAAATGTACCCTATTCAGTACAACGCACACGTGTGCATTCTCTTGCATGCTCATTCATACATACTCTCACACCAAGAGACCAGATATGACCGAGTTGACAGCCCAGAAATTGCGTACGCGCGCGACAGCCCGCGAAAGTGCACACTTTGCAACGACCTGATACTTGAAAAATTGACTGAAAAGTTACTGCGTAACCGTTATCTTTATCGGTTAACCGTTAATTCTTCGTAACCGGTCTGCAACCGGTTAATCGGACTAATCGTTTGAGCCCTAACTTTTTTCATCAGAACCGATCAGACAGGGTACTGCTGATGAATGCTGCGGAGCAGGGAGCCGAAGGTGTTTCGTTCCTCTCGAACTCTTTGCCTCCACACGAACTCGCAGAGGTAGGTTGGAAACAACTCGCGAGACGTGCCGAAGTTGCGTTGAGCTGGCGCTTTGCACGCATCCACATATTCTCGACATTGTTGGTATGGATGCTCTTGACATAGTGGCAAGGTCTGCATCTCCAGCGAAACCCATCGTGGCTTTCCTGCCTCCTAGTGAGGCCACATCGCGCCACGTGTGTCACAGAGCATTTCGTTCTTGATAAAGCGCCGAGCGGCAAGGAACTCGAGTTGGCCAAGTTGGGTCCTGGAAAAGATCGGCACAAGGGTGAACACGGTCCACTGCTCCATCAAAATTGCATCATTATTTCGTATGTCTCCCTGAGGGACGGCATTCCGTATCGGCGCACCGGGACGCCCAGCCATTACCACAAAGTCAAAGGAAACAACTCTAAGGACACAAAACTTCGAAACACACTCAAGCACACTCTCAAGTACACAGAAAGTACAGAGAACACTGGGAAAGTGCGAAGTAATTTGGGACCCTAAACTAGATGATTACCGGGAGTAGTCCCTGGTCTGTAGTGTACTTCTCCTACGAAGCTGTTAGCGCTTGCTGGTGTAGCTGGCCTCGTGACTTTCGCTCTTTGGCCGTCTTGTGCGTTTGGCTCGAAATGTGTGATTTCACAATGCTGTTCTTCTGTCGAACTGTCTGGCTGCAAGCACTGCAGTAAATCTTCCCACTGGACACGGTCAAATATTTTCCCCTGCACGCGATGGTGGACGCTGACACGAGGTGTCAATGTGGAACTTCCACCGGCAATTCGCCCACGCTTAGCGACGGACTCCTTCCCACTTCTCTGGAAAGATCGTTTTCGGGAAATCGCTGCTCTGGCTGGTTCGGGAAGACGTTCACACGCTGTCCTGACCTCGTCCTCTTCGGACTCTGATTCTGAGGCGTCTTCATCGTCAAACTCGGAATCAAAGTGATCATCGCTACTGCTTACTAGATCAACAATATCTCTGGCTGCTTGCTCGGACATAGCCATTACGTGTGTTCTTCATCAGCTAACAAAGAATAATAAGCAAAAGTTGGTGGAAACAAAACGCTCCCATTCTCACCGCCTTTTCATGTACACCCATCACAAGTTTTTTTCCCCAACGCTTGTGCCCAGACTCCCAGCCAGAGTCAAAGATCTACTACAAGTAGTAGAGCCTAGAGTAGAGGGCCAGACATTGAAGATTTGAAGTGAACCAGTGTTGTCGGATGCGACTGACACAGTTCTATAATTAGTTTTGCAACAATATGCTAGTTTTCGCAAGAATATGCTAGTTTTAAATCTGCTGATTATGCTAGTGCAATGCTAGTTTCCAGAAAGTGCTAAATATGCTAGATATAATGCTAGCATTATCCGCCGGGGCCTAATTAGCGTGGGTGGGGGTGTTAGTGTGGGTGGGGTGTTAGCGTGGGTGGGGGTGTTAGTGTGGGTGGGGTGTTAGCGTGGGTGGGGTGTTAGCGTGGGTGGGGGTGTTACCGTGGGTGGGGTGGTAGCGTGGATGGGAATGTTAGCGTGGGTGGGGTGTTTAATAGTGTGGGTGAGGTTAGGCATTTCCCAAATCGGCCCGATTTTTTCGCCTAATCGGCTTTTCGATCGGCTAAGAGAATGTCCAAATTCGGCAATATTATGAGCCCCAAAGTCAGAATTCAGCTCAAATCAGTACTTGAATTCACCGCTCATAGTACAGTGTACATTTTACATGCATGCTTTAGAAGCACTAAAACATCGATTATCGGCGATTTCTCTACTGCCATTGATTTCGTCGTATTTTCCTGCCGACCGATTTCGGTAATGCCTAAAGTCGCAGCCACCTTTCGCAGTATAATGGTTACAGGGATTGCATGCTGTTGAGGGCCTTGAGGCGCAAGAACATCGGTTTTCGGCGAATTCAGTGCTAAAATTGCATATTTGGCGAAAAGATCGGTGACTTCTTCAAAACGTCAGTTTGCGGCGAATTTTTCGGCCGGCCGATTTGGGAAATGCCTAGTGGGGGTGCTAGCGTGGGTGGGAGTGTTAGCGTGGATGGGGTGTTAGCGTGGGTGGGGGTTAGGCCTTGGCGGATAATGCCGGCAGAAAAATTGGCAGAATTCGGTACTTTTTCTGGTAAGTTTCATGCATGTTTGGTATGTGGATAAAGAAATGGAGCAGAATTTGAGGAATTGCCCGCCATAAGGTTTGTATGGTTCTGCCAATTTCGGTGCAAAAAAAGCAGAATCTGCCACCTTTTCGAGCATTATCCGCCAAGGCCTAGTGGGGGTGTTTGTGTGGATGGGGTGTTAGTGGGGGTGGGGGTGTTAGCGTGGGTAGGGGTGTTAGCGTCGCAGTGTCTGCTCCAGAGCAGGGTCAGCTGGGTCAGCGACCCCTTTGGGTTGGTACTTGGACCCGTTTGAAAAAAGAACACTGTGTCACTTGGGACCCGTTTGGGAGCTCACATGATAGTCATGTCGATTACCTTTTTTCTGTACTTCAAGGGAGTACAGACTGATCTGTCAGTGACAGGCTGAAGGCGTGTGTGTACCTGGCTCTGACGCGGTTGCAAGACTTGTGTCAGGTACTGGTGTACCCGATTGGTTTGAAACTGGGAGTCGCAAAATATTTTACGACTCCCTGGTTTGAAATCCTAGAGCAGACATTGCATGGGTGGGGTGTTAGCGAGGGTGGGATGTTAGCATGGGTGGACGTGTTAGCGTGGGTCGGGGTGTTAGCGAGGGGGGGGGGGGGATTTAGCGGGTTGGGGTGTTAGCATGGGTGGGGGTGTTATCTTGGGGGGGGGGGTGTTAGTGTGAGGGTGCTAGCGGGTGTGGGGCGTTAGCGTGGGCGGGGTATTAGCGTGGGTGGGTACATGCACCCACATGCAAGCGTTTCCAATATTCAACGTGGAAGTGGTCGTACCGCAAGTGCTCATTCAAGTGGCGAAGGTCGATTACGGGACGTTCGGCGGTGGTACCCTTCTTGGGTACGGTGAATAAGCGGCTCACAAACTGGCCGGCAGATGTAATGGGCTCACCAGTCGAATTGCACCTTTGGATAAGAGATCCTCTATTTCCTGGTGGACGATGGTGCATTTTTCGGGAGGGAACCGCATCTCTGTCGTAGCGGACCTCTGGCAAGGAACGGTGTGGAGGTCTAAGCAGTACCCTGAGATGGTCTTCAACACCCACGCATCCTGCGTTAGGTCTCGCCAGGCTGCCGCAAAATGTTCCAATCGGCCCGCTACTTTGGGGGTAGGGGTTTCCGTGGGGCAGCCAGGCACGGGGGAGGTCGTCAACGACCTCGGGGCGCCTGCGGAAAGGCTGGCCTCGGCCGTTTTTTGCTGGCTGGCGGAAATGCTCCTCAGGCCGGCGGGTGACATGGCCTCGTCCAGCCCTGTCGTAAGGGCGGAACCGAACTGAGTCCGACCGGTACACAGAACGACCAGAAAAACAGTCAGGACGGGCAGGCTGCGACCGGTTTTGTGCGGTCCCCGGGCGCCGCCCAGAAGGCCGTGGCTGGAATACATCCATCTCCTGGCACTTTCGCTTGTACTCCCAGGAAAAGCCATCACCGAAGAGGAGATCGCCGGAAGGATGCAAACCCTGCAGGAGGCTCTTCGAGCATCTCTTCGGCAGCGCTGCCATGAGGCGCTGACAGCGTGTCTCAGATAACACGTTCGAGGCGTCGCCCGTCATCACGATCGCCATCTGGACGAGCTCTGTCAGTTCGTGGACGGCCCTGCTCAATCGCGACCAGGGGATGGAAAACATCCGTGACCTTCTGTTGGATGCTGGCCAGCATTCGATTAGCCCTCTTGGCATTGACCAGACCCTGAACATCCGACAGCAACGGGTCCACGTGTTGACATTTCGTTTCTTCCACGTCCGGCCGGGGACACGGTTTCCGCACCCGTCGACACTCAGCAAACGACAGGGAACCACGGCAGTGTTCAGTAGATATGAGATCGGACAGACCTGCAGTCTGGTGTGCCAATGGCCAGCGCCAGTAGCTACTGTGTCGATGCAATAGGACAGTGCAACAGCAGGACTTGTCTCAAGTACAATTCCATTCATCGACTCATCTGAACGGCAGAGAGAGAGAGACAGACAGACAGAGAGAGAGAGAGAGAGAGAGAGAGAGAGAGAGAGAGAGAGAGAGAGAGAGAGAGAGAGAGAGAGACAGAGAGAGAGAGAGAGAGAGAGAGAGAGAGAGAGAGAGAGAGAGAGAGAGAGAGAGAGAGAGAGAGAGAGAGAGAGAGAGAGAGAGAGAGAGAGAGAGAGAGAAAGAGAGAGAGAAAGAGAGGATGCGGGATCGAGAGAGAGACGCGCGCGTTACAGACAGACAGAAAGAAAGAGAGAGAGAGAGAGAGAGAGAGAGAGAGAGGGGGGGGGGGGATGCGGGATCGCGAATTCCACGGGCACAGATTTTCAGCACATTCAGCACACAGTTACCATGGCTACAGCGGGACAATTCAACCCGGGGGCCGAAAAACGAGTCAGAACAGGAGGTCTGTTTGGCCGTATGGTTACGGATAGAATGAAAAGAAAATAGACCACGGAAAAGTTTGTTAAAAAATACCCGGTGTGGCGTGGCTTCCTTTGAAACCAGTGTACTGTCTAGATAAAACGAAATTCACAGATAAAAAACAGGACACACATGAACAGCACAGATAAAAACAACAGGACACATACCACAGCACAGCTTGACTTGCTTCAGCACACAGCACGTGACGTGTATGCTACGTCACCAGTTCGGACTGGGCGAAGCCTGCAAAACAGAAGCTGCCAGGTCACGTTGGGGATGGAAATAAAACCTGCAGATCACTAGCAAATAAACTGAAATATAGAGGCGATAACGGAGGTTGCATTTACAGTCAACTTCGCCAATAACGACATTCGGCGGGGCATCAGAAAAGTGTCCTTATTCGCGAAGTGTCCTTATAACCGAAGTCCCATTTGAATGTATGTGAACCCATAGTTTGTATAGTATGACATGCATATCAAAATCAAGCTCTTTTCTTGCTCTATGTCAATGTGTACTTTATTTTCATATTGCAGTTGAAAGGAACTAAAAATTCAATATGCAAGGGAAATCAATTGAAAAGTATGCCTTTTTGAGCCATCTACAGGGCCAGAGACATGTACATGTATGATGATTACTGTACAATCATGTACAACTACATGTACATTGTATACAGTCATATAGGTGTGCTGGTAAATCCAACAATTTTGAAGCCAACATAAAAAGGAAGAAAAAGCCCCCCCCCCCCTTGGCTGCATTTTCTTGCATGTGTGCATTATATCCATCACCATAGGTTCTGGTACTTCTGCATGACAGGTACATGTACATGTACATGTACTTGACTGACAGGTACTTGAAATAGCTGTCAAAAGCCCAGAAAGTCGTTATTCAAGCAGTGAATATGACCTCGGGGCACTAAAAGCATGTCGCTATACGCGAATTGTCGTTATTCAGATAGTCGTTACATCCGAAGTAAAATGTGTACAGTTAGATGGGACTTTGCTCTGGGCATGGAAATTCGGTCGTTATTCGCGAATTGTCGTTATATCCGCAGTCGTTATTAGCGAAGTTGACTGTAATGGATTTTGACTGCCTAAGGGGGGGGGGGGGGGCTAAAAGGAGTGACAGCAGGACACATTGAGCACATTGCTCAAAGGCAGCACAGTCGCATGGATAGCAACGATATGTTGCCGTGGTCGGGGCCCTGATATCTGTGGGCATGTCTTGAACAATGCATAATTATTAGGGCTGAAACGATTATACCAATTACTCGGTAAGCGATCGATAATTCCTTATCAATCAAGTAATCGTTACGTTATAGATTACTCGTTAGGAATTTTGAGTCCAAAAAGTACTGAAAACCCTCGTTTTGTGAAGTTCGAATCAGTTTCCGCTGTGTGTATGCAGTTGCCAGGGGCATGGTGCATATTCTGAGGTTAAGTTGACTTCAAAACTGTCATGTTTTGGAGCTACCCTGCCACTAATGCAGATTTTTGGTATTATGAAGGCCTAGCTTTTGGAAACAGGATAATTTTTGCACAAAATTCTGACACTATTTGCTAAAGATTATAATCGATTACTCGATCGTTAAGCTAAAGAGTAATCGATAGGTGAAAATCCATGATCGTTTCAGCCCTAATAATTATATAGTATATACCATATCACTGACGGGCAGAGAGATAGCGAGCAAATCCATTGTCGAAGAGAAGATCAGGCCATGGAGGCCGGTTAATTTGGTGGTGATAGGGCAGCCACACTGAAATCAGCACCAGTTGGAGATGTGCTTCATGTCAGCGACAATGGTGGCTGTTGCTCTGCAGGTGAAGTGCACAGGCTATGTGCGATGCTGCGGTGGTTGCATCATTCTGAAGTTCTCCGTGCAAGGCTGATGTGATCGTGTGCAAACATGGGCATCGCACAATGCATGACGGCATGGCAACGAAAATGAAGATGTGACGACATCGTTGAGAGAGGATGGCAGGCAGCAACATAACGTTGCTCAGCGGTTTTACCTCTGCCGAGAAGTTGGGAGGGGCGGGCAACACTGGTGGAACGATGTCACGACCTTGAATGACATCATGATGTCGAGACAGAGCATACACACCACCGGCAATAGCCACAGCATCGGAGAACAGCACATCCAGAAAGCACACGCACCGTGTTAGCATCCCAGGGTGAATGCTTCACTCCACAAGCGGGCAGCAAACAGCCAGAGGAGGAGAAGACCACACATAGAAAAACAACCTGAAGAGATGTGTCACCGACGCTTCTTGCGGTGCGAACGTCCCGGCGTGGTTTTCGGTGTTGTGGCAGCAGCAGCTGCTCCTACTGTCACATGACCATCTTGTAAAGCCTAGAAAACAGAAGAAGAAACAAACAAAGAAAGAACAGGGAGAAAGGCTCAAACTAAGTGCTACTGGACAAACCGACACCAAAACCATACACGAGTATTTACAAGTGCTCTATAACCTGACGCTGCGCTTCAGCGCACTGCGAGGACACATGAAACGTCTATTATTCTTTCTCAGTCACGTGCATGCCTTCACTAGAGGATTTTGACATGGGACGGGGCACAGAAATATCGCACAGCCGGATGCAGCTCCCCCAGAACCTAAGGTTTCTGAACTGAGAGTAACATACCTGCCGATCCTCTTCATCGGGCAGCTTGGCAACGGTTTTCCGAGCGTCTATGTAGAACATGACATCACGCAGCTGCTCCTCCAAGTCCTTGATGGCCTAGGGAAGAGCAGGAAAGCAGAACACACACACCACACACTACGTCTTGTACAGTGCTGTCGGGCGCTGAAGAACGAACAGGCTGGGATGTCACGACGCACAGGATACGGTCACTCAACTGTGCATAGACGTCAGCACATGAACAGAACATCTGTGTCCATACTCCATAAATTCATGCTCCATGTCTCGTGATTCAATCATTTTTATCCGCTTTCATAATTATAACCTTCTGCATGATTTTAATCATTTTTTATGCATACATTTTCATTCACTCTTCATCATTTTGTCGGAACTAGGTCTCCGCTGACCTGGTGAGAAGGCAGAAATGCCTGTTCACTTGGTGAAGTAAAAATAAAATAAACAAACAAACATAAGAACAACCAAGGCCATGAGGCTGACCCTCCCCCCCCCCCCCCCCCCTCCCTCCCAATGCTTCAGGACCTGGCAGTTCTTTAATTACCAGTAACTAGAGTCAGACCTCGCTTATCCGGTCCTCTTTTTGTCCGGATCCCTCGCCATCTGGAAGAAAATCGTTGGTTACCGATGTACAGCACACAGTAAAACCTGTCAAGGCGACCACTCGGATAAGGCGACCACCTGTCCAAGAAGACCACTGAAACCAGAATCGAGGGATGCTATTTCCAGTCAAATGACCCTGGATAAGGAGACCACCCGGAAACAGAGACCACGTTTTGAAGGTCCCTTGAGCGGTCGTCTTAGACAGGTTTCACTGTACGTCATGCATACATACAGTACGTGTGTTCGATTATCCGGTTCCCTCGCCTACCCGGATATGTTTTGCGGAAAACGGATGCGTGTGTATGCGAGGTCTGACTGTACTTGTCAATTTTCAAAGGTACATGCACTGTCGACTCCACTTTCAATGCTCTCACTTGTAGCAAATTTCATGACAAAGCAAACAGTTGCCCACGTCCCTGTCTGACGCCATGCAAAATTGACCCATTTGTAGCGAACTGTTTTCGTCCATAACGAACCAAATATTGTCGGCGAGCGTGTAAACAAGGTGCTGTGCTGTGCAGTCATGGGCTGCATGCCAGCAAGAGTACATAACCCCCAAGAGTGTGCAACTGCCTGCACAACCTCTATGCTGGGCTGCTGCGACGGCAGAACTTCACATCACGTGACATAGTTCAAAACAGTGCAAAGTGGCCACAAGGGAGTTGAGCCCAAAGCTGGGTTTGCGTACAACCCCGTATCTATCATGCACAGAGTGCACACAATGCGTACGGGTTCATCAGGTGATGTGAAGTTCTGCCGTCGCAGGCCCCATAGCTCGAGTTGCACACTCTTGGAGGTTATGTACTCATGATGTCAGGCGGCATGGTGTGTTGCTTGTATGCTGTGATTCCTGCCCAAGATTCCTGCTCTACAGAATCTTGGCTACGAAGAACTGCCGTAATTTCCAGAGTCTAAGCCGCACTTTAAACACTCGTACGTCACCCCAGAAATAGCCACTGTGCATTATACTACCATGGTCAAGTGAACCGTGATCTACAGGGTGCATGTATGGATTTTAGGGGTGAAACGATTAAGGGATATTCCTTAACGGTTAATCCAAAACTTATCGATTACTTATCGATTAAGCACCACTGACGAAAAAACTCACCATTTTGCATCAACTACCATCAATTTTGGAACTTCAAAGAGAACAAAAATAATGGAAACATCGACCGTCGCACAGGCACAAACTGATTCTGAAAGCTACTTGTCCAGAACAGTGAGTTCCGTGAAGCAACCGGAACGAAAGTTCGCAGGTACGAATCAGTGCACGGCAGAGAAAAGAGCCACGTGGCATACAATAGATCTAGAGAGTACATCAGGTAGATCTACCGGGTACGCGTGTAGTGTGTATCCAGAGCATGAGCAACTCGCTGTGCGTGCTGCACGCGTTGATTGACACCTCCGTGCACGCGCGCATCCACTCGTACTCTGGTACATGTGCTGCACGCAGTAAAGTCATGTAGACACACTGCACATGCCGGATATTTCGTCGTACCGTATAGTATGTCGTACGAAAATGCTGTAGCGATTAGAAAAATCGTAATCGACTAGATTTTTCGACTAATTTATCGACTAAACCACATAATCCTTTCACCCCTAATGGATTTCATGACAACAAAATCTGGATGTGGCTTATACTGCTTGGTCCGACTTATTAAAATGTGCGCTTCACTTCAAAACTCAAGCATATGTACAAAGGAGCACCTGTACTAAAAAATCAACCAAGAGACGGTAGATATATAACTACTGTGTCGTTTCTTGGCCTGACCTTCTAGTTTTCATCGCTGCTGGTGTCTCAGGGTGCATCTGCAAGTGCGTCAACCTGCAAAACGTCGACATTTTTTTCATCTCCTCCAAGCTACACTGCGCTTCTTTGATTTTTTCACTCCATAGGCACGATTTAGACGATCGACTTCGCCTCCTCGTGCAGCACGACTACCAGAATGGTGGCTGTAGGTGTTTTCGCCTGAAGCTCCTGCGACACCTTCAAATGAGGCGAACAAGTAAACCACCACGCATAAAAAATCACTTCTGACCACCGTGTACCGCGCGCGTAGGTATGTAGGTCTACTGATCATGAGTCTGATCTGTGTCGACATGTCATGCAGTCAGACCATGCGTGCTCTTCCCTGCGAGCTGCCTGTTTCACGAATCCACTGGCCCCGGAGACTGGCGATCTTTTGACGCATCGCGATCGCGGCTCCGAGGACTCCGCACCGTATCCGCCGGATAATTCACCCTTTCTGCGCTTCAGTTTTCCAGCCAGGTTGTCGCCTGAAAGTCGACCTCAAGGCCGGTTATTTATTTCGATCAACTAACTTCTCCACGATCACTTCTGTGATCTTGATTCGTCGGCCGCCACATCGTGAACGACTGCGAGAGAGATCAGCAAACTGGACGGAGCGATGCTGGTGCTTTCTGCACACGTTTCTGGATGACGCGTTTGCTGAAATTCTGCCAAGGAAACAGCGATTGCAGCGATTTCAATCCGCCAGGAGGCACTCGAGAACGATCGCCCAGGAGGTTCTGGTACTCCGTGACAATCCCCCATCGCAGCGGGGTGTTGATTTCAGCACCAGGCCTTCTCTGTGTTGCGCGAGAAGCAACAGGAGTCCTCTGACGACAACATTTGAACGCAAAATTCTCGAGTCGACTAGGATCCCGAGTCGCTGCCTCCGTTGGAGTTGGAGCCATTTCTTCTTCAACATCACAAATTGACAACTGAAGGATAGTGTTAGGTAGCTGTAAAGTTTATTCAGTCCTGAGATTATTTGAATTTGTTTGGTTGACGTTCGAAGCGAAACGCACATTTTAATAAGTCGGACCAAGTATATAATTATACGGAAAATACCATACAGTCAGACCTCGCTTATCCGGATCCCTCACCATCCGGAAGAAAATAGATGGTTACAGATTTACAGCATACGTAATGCATCCAACATAACTGGTGTTCGGTTATCCGGTTCCCTCGCCTCTCCGGATATTTTTGTGGAAAACGGACGTGTGCGGAGACACACACACACACACACACGCACACGCACATACCGTGTCCTTAGAATCCAGTTGCTCTTTGGAGACCCTTTCGGTGACAACCAACCGACGTTCACTTTCCTTCTGATTCTCCCGAAGATACGCGGTCATCTGCACAGAATGAACGACAGACATACTGAGGACCGACAGATATACAATGAACGACAGACATACAGATGAACGACAGACATACAAATGAACGACAGATATACACATGACCGACAGACATACAGCAATTGGAGTTAGATAATTAGATCATTACTTGACATCACTTGTGGAAAAATGTGTGGCATCAGAACTGGTTGGCCACATAAATCTCTATACAAACTTGAACTGGTTTGCCAGTCCATATTTGGTACAAACTACCGAAAAGGTCCGTAAAGAAGTGCCTGCCCTAAATAAACACCCCCTTCGTCCTTTTGACTCTGTCTGTTGAAGTAAAGTTCAGCCCGATTAACATACTCCCCGAAATAAGTACCGGTACGGTTCGCACATGCAGCGCTTATCAATAATCATGCACATCTACATGAAAAAATGACTTCTCCACTACACACAAGTCAGATCCGAAAGTTAGTTCATGCATGAAAATCAGTACCCACCCGAAAGTTAGTAAGGGTGTGACCACTAAATGCGAAAGTAAGTGCGCACTTATTTACGCCTTGCGGACTTTTCCGGCAGTCCTGATTTCCACAGCATACAAATTAGCACTGATTTACTATAGAAGCCTTGCTTGATAGTTCAACATGTTTTCGATTTTGACAGCATGTTACAAGGCAGGAGCACTGTGCGTCCTCGCCTTGTAACATGCGGTCGCCTTCGAAAACACAGCACTGATTTCCACTGCATACAAACTGGCACTGTTTCCCCACTCTTGGTCGTGTACTCAACTGTTTCGCTGTAACTACCTGAGGGCAGAAGTAGTGAGGCAGTGCACTGTCCCAAAATGAGCTAAATCTCACCTCTTTCTCCTCTTCCAAACCCTTCGTGAGATCTGTAATACGCTCTGACATCTGAGAGAGAAGAGCAGGACAAGGAAGGCAACACAGGTGAGTACACATGCTTGAGATCA